TATAATACTCTCTAAATAATAAAGAAATAAATTACAGTGAAAGCAATGAAGATTTTGTAGGTTTTGAACTAAACTAAATAACAGTAAACCTTTTTTTGATTTATGGTATTTCTTATTTTGATGTTTTGAGCTCTTTTGTGTTTAGAGCAATATATACTAATTTTTAAAATATCAAATTGAATTATTGTTCAATAAAAATCTTTCAAATGCGACTGTAGCTTTTTTGCCCAAAAATAAGGGTGCGTCTTATATTCCAAAAAATACGGTAATACTGTTTTATTTCAGAAGAATTTTCCTCTCCACAATCAGTTCTCTTATTCTTTTGTAATTAGATTCTTAAATTAGCTTGAATTTTTAAAGTGTGATTTTTGAATGTTTACCATACCAAAATATGCTCAGACATGTATGTGTGTAAAACATATCAACACATGGATTTAAATTATCGTATTGGCCCAATTATATGGCGATATTTTTTTATTAATACTTAGGCTGTAAAATTCATGATCGCAACCTACCACAGGCCCTTTCCCCCCCTACTCTAGTCTGTCACAATCCTGAATGTCCTGATAGCATCTGGCACCAGATGTTTGCTTAAGGTCATTGCTAATTCTTGCAACTAATACACCTATAGGCTGTTCAATTTTAGTACTGATTTTGTGGACCTAAAAAGAACGTTATGACTCTAATTTTTTTCTTTCCCATGGTTTCTGAAAATGGGGGTCGCCTTATATTCAAGATCACTCTATAATCGAGCCAATACAGTAGTAGGAGGTGTAAACATAATGGAGAGTGGTTACAATGCTAAGCACTTTTCAATTTGAGAATATTAAAAAGTTGAATTGTTATCAAAAGTGTTTTGCCATTTATGGATGTGTATGCTCAACACAAAATAAGTGGGAACAATTTAGCACCCTAGAAATGTTTGAGAGGATAAAAACAGTAAATAAAAAACTGTCACTCTTTACTTCTTTTTAGTGTAAAACCAAAATTAAAAATTAAAAAGTTGAATTGTTATCAAAAGTGTTTTGCCATTTATGGATGTGTATGCTCAACACAAAATAAGTGGGAACAATTTAGCACCCTAGAAATGTTTGAGAGGATAAAAACAGTAAATAAAAAACTGTCACTCTTTACTTCTTTTTAGTGTAAAACCAAAATTAACGTGTTGTGCCATCGTATTGTTCTCCCTCACTTTGTTTCTATCTTCACCACCTGTGTCTGACTAATTTCCATATGCATATTATTATTATTATAAAGTTAAAAGGCATAAACTTTTCCTGGAAGTTAGAAAAATTATATTCTTCTTTTGCATAACTATTCTACAGGGACCTTACTGAAGTTCCGACACTATCCTGAAATGTCAAACACTCTCTTGCCAGTTGGTGATCCATCATACAATTATACAGGCATTATTACTGTAATGGTTTCAGATGCTTTTGATATGTCTGTGGAGACCAACATTTTCATACAGGTATATGATATCTTGATTCACTTTTACTATTTTGGAAATATGTGTGTGTGTGGATATATTTTACAAAACTATTTTCTGATAATTTTTTTTATATATATACAGTACAGTTTGTTTTGAAAGAAGTATAACAGTTTTTAAAAAAACAAAGCATAATTTGCTTTATCAGTTAAGAGTACATTTTTACTCTTACATTGCTATAAAGATGTCATTATGGTTTTATTTACTACTTAGCTCTTGAGATAATTGTGTACTTGAATGTGAAAAATTAATTAATCATTCTGGAAACTTCTAAAGTCTAAATTGTTAGAACAATCTATTATGAGGTCATACATAAATGTTCTGTAACATTTTATTATTCATGAGTATGTATCATTGAATTTTTCTTTCTTGGTTTTTTTTATGACAGGTTTTGCCTTTGCCTAGCAAAAGTGGGCAACATAAAAGTGAACTAATTAAAACGTTTGTCACAGTTACAGAGAATACAACTAGCTCACCTTTAGAACACATTTTGAAATCGGGAGATGTTGAAGGTATATAGAAATGTTTATATACATATGTACATTTCTCCAATTTAAACTACATCGATTGAAAGTTAGGTCAATGATGACATTGTCAACATTCATCCTAACCTTAATTATAATATTTCTGTATGCATAGATGTAAGTATAAAAATGTGATTTTAATCTGCCTTAACATAACTCAAAACCAATTACATTTTGTACTTTCTATGTTAACCTCAATATAATCATCTGTGTAAATAATACGCTTGCATTTCACTATCCAGAACTTTTATTGTACTTTCTCGATCAGACGCTACAAATCTTATATCTTTAGAAAGGCCTTCGTCTGAGGAGTCCAGACTGCATATTGGCTTTTCAATTCAGAATAGCCGTACCTGTTTTTTTGCTTAATCAAACTTTTCAATGCAACAAGTATGCTACACAATGGCAAGATGCTGTTGTCATTATGTGACGATTGGCTTCAATTCAACTTTAGTTTTTATTTGCAAGGTATTTCACACAAACACCACTTAACTTGCATGTAATTTCCTTAAAAAACGAACATTAGTACAACTCCAGTAGGTTGCACGACTTATTTAGGTCTAAATTGCACATGCGAAAATTCGTTCAAAATCAAACCATATGCTTATCACTTTGTGAACATACATTCAGACATTTCTGCATATTCAGCTAAGTTTGCCTTCACTACAACTTTACATTTACTTCACTTTGTAATAATTTAGCTTCGTTTCATTTCATAAACTGCTATAAACACCTTTTAGCTACATTTTTCTTTACTACGGGTTTTATTCTTCATTTTTATGAGTTTCTTTGTTTAAACTCATAAAAACGTGTCATACACAGAATGCTCATAACTCTTTCATACTCTGTACACTATTATAAATACCATTACTTTACTGTATTGTTACTTTATGTATATTTTTATTAAACAAAGAAACATCTATGTGAGTGAATTTGAATGTTTTCAAATAGGCCAGGAATTATTGATCTAACACATATAATGCCTGAAGAAAGCATAGCTTAAATGATGTGCATGAAAATGATAGCATAAGAAAAATTAAAGTGAAGGGCATGAAACTACAATAAATGTCCTGTGGGTCACAGCTAGTATTAACACAATTTATTACTGCATTATATTTTCATTACTTGAAATACTAAATGTTTTTTTGAAAAACAGTGTTTGATTAGTTACAACTAAAACGGAACTGGAAAAGCACAAAACTGTGTATAGACTAGTTTTTCAGGACATATTTTAGAACATTTTAGCATTCGCACAAAAATGCTGTCGTGGACAATGGAATATGTCAAGATTAAATATTCTGTGAGGGACCAGCTTGCCATTTCCTTATGTTAATTTCAAAAGCCTCATGAGCATTTTCTTGATCATATATTTATTCCACTGTGTCTGTATCTGAAATATCTGTATATTCCCTATCTCCTTCAAATCCCTCCATTGTTCTCTCTACTAAAAAAAACACATAGGTTGGACACAGAGATTAGTGATTAAAGTTTATGCTTTCATACTATACATTGTAAAATAGTGGTGGATGTTGAAGTAATACATTTGATTACATTTAAATACGGAGCAACTGAAACTGTTGGGGTTTCAACAAGTAACACACTTGATAAACTTTTCTGTTTGTCTGTTGCATTCATAGGTGTAGTTTTACCATAATGTTCTTTAATATATTATCATAAATAAATAGTACTCCAAAAAGTTTATACTATAAGTTATGACATAACTTAAAGGAAAATAATTACCTGATAATCATAAATCTTCAAAAAGATATAGTTTTTTTCTAAGAAAATAGAATTTTTATAATTACTTTTTATTCATTGAATAAGGCACATTTGATATGTATGTTTTTCACTGATAGGAGCATTAAATATGGTGGATGCAATTTCATTGCTTTTAAATACAGATGATGCCTCTGTTGACGAGAAAGATGATAATGTAAAAGAAAATGCTCAGGTAAGCAGGATTATTAATATATGTATTAGTAATTCTTTATATATTAAATCACCCAGTTCAAAGTATTTAATATTTTTGCATTAAAACAAGGTGATGTCTATTTTCTTTTGGATATATATTATTATCAACTTTTTCTTATGTTAAAATGCTTTGTGAGATGAGATAACTGTGGAATATTTATTTCTTATTGTCTCACATTTACTTGTTATATTTATGTATAGAAGCTTTTGCTTTATGCCCTCCGGCCAATTGGGCCATTAAGTTTAAAGTTACACTCAGGTAGAAAACTTTATATACAACTGTATATTGACTGAATCACCCAGTAATATACCTTTTCTCACAGTATCAATTTTTCCTTGTATACTTCTGTGACAACGGTTCAAGATAACTTGTATTTGTGTGCTCCCTTAATAAGGTAATCTATATTATGTATTTATTGGCGTTTTTGTTAAAAATATTAATTATGCTAGTTAGTACATCAAATGCCATTACTTTTTCTTTTTATCTTGTTTATTATAATAATTTTATTATTAAGATTGTTTTGCAATGTTAGCTTAAAATTTGTATTTAGAACTCACCTGAATCTTCTAAAGTAGCTGAACTTTATGAGATATTATTGGGATTATGGCCAAAAATATCATTAACAGTACAGTGTAATGAACAAATTTTATGGTTATAAAATAAGAATATATACATGAATTTAGTATGTTGAGAACATTTGTGGCAGTAATATGATACAAATTACTGTTTCCTTTATTAAAAGTTTTGGAAAACTCTGTACACAGACTTATCGAGCATTTAGTTCAGTGATGTTATATGTTGCAGAAACTTATTGTTTACATGCAATAATTATTTTATAACTTGACTTTTTGAGTTCTTTTTTTTTTTCTTGTTACATTTTTTGTAGATCCGATCTAAGCTTCTCACTTCTTTGGAAGAAGTACCTTTACATAGTATTCCAGCTGTAAAACAAACCTCATCAGTTCTAACTTCTGTTCTCAGTGGAAATCCAAAGGAAGTTACAATTGATTCCAAAGTATGTTGTTTACATCAGAGTGAGGCAAATGTGCCTTCCTGAGGTTAAACATATGATCTTTGAGTTTTGTTTTTTGTCAGATCCATAAATATTGATTGCCAAAGTGTAGTGGACTTTCAGTGGATTAGTTTAGGCTTAGTAGATGATCCACAGACATAATACATACTTGTACAGTGTACATCATAATTTGAATAATACACACTTGTAAAGTGTGTATCATAATTTGAATAATACACACTTGTAAAGTGTATATCATAATTTGAATAATACATACTTGTACAGTGTACACCATAATTTGAATAATACACACTTGTACAGTGTATATCATAATTTTAATAATACACAATTGTACAGTGTATATCATAATTTGAATAATGCATACTTGTAAAGTGTACATCATAATTTGAATAATACACACTTGTACAGTGTATATCATAATTTGAATAATACATACTTGTACAGTGTACATCATAATTTGAATAATACATACTTGTAAAGTGTATATCATAATTTTAATAATGCATACTTGTACAGTGTATATCATAATTTGAATAATACATACTTGTACAGTGTACACCATAATTTGAATAATACACACTTGTAAAGTGTATATCATAATTTGAATAATGCATACTTGTACAGTGTACATCATAATTTGAATAATACATACCTGTATAGTGTACATCATAATTTGAATAATACATACTTGTACAGTGTACATCATAATTTGAATAATACATACTTGTACAGTGTACATCATAATTTGAATAATACACACTTGTACAGTGTACATCATAATTTGAATGCAACCCTTAAATAAATAATTAATGTCATATGCAACAAAAGTTTTTATATAATCTTGTAAAACAAATACAAGTTGTTAGTCATGTGATTTATTATCTCATGGTTTGACAGGAAAATAAAATAAACTTACAACTGAAGTTAAGCAAACTGTCAAGAGAAGTTAGGCTAGACAATTGTGATCAGGGGGTGAAATTCTCAAAAAATAGTAGACGTATTAAGCTGGGTGAGGTGGACCTGTTTTTGATAAAGAAAAAACAATCTACATGTAAACACAAAAAAATGACAAATCATCTCAAATAAGTACCAGTACTATTACCATCTTAGAAAATAAGTCCCGGTACTCTGAGTACCAGCAGAATTTCACCCCTGGTTGTGATACATAAGAGATACTTGATCTATTAAATGAAGAATATTGTTGAAAACACTCATTTGATCTTTATTTGTGACATAACGTTATTTTTAAGAAATGTCTAATATTGTTTTTTTTTGGGGGGGGGGAGAATTCTTTTTACATAATCGTACATGAATATATATAAATCAGTGCTGGAGGAACCTCACATTGATGTCTTAATATAAAAAAAAAAGACTTAAAATTTAATATACACTAGGAAACAAATGAGTTTGTATTTAAGGCAAATATAAGTAATGCTGAACTAAATGAAGAAAAAAATTACTTAAGTGGTAAACAAAAGCATTAATAAAAATATAATAGAAATTGCTACCTTAAAAATATATGGGTCTTCTAGTAATTAAATGTGTAAATTTTATAAAAAAAGACTATTTTGCAAGGCAATCTATATTTGTATGTAAATAGCCTAAATACGCTGTAAAAACCTATATTATTGGCTTTCCTAATTTATTAAGTCAATTAATATCTTTTTGAATCAAAGCTCCTGCCCTTTTCCACCATTTCTATCTATTTCAGAAACATCTACAGGAAATTTGTTAGTCTTAGGAACTGTAACTTTTCAGGTTATGCTTGGTGTATTTACATTGAATTACATGTGAAATGTCAACATTTGCTAAATATATTTAATTTTAAACCGATATTTTGAAAATCAGAGGCCTATGAAAAAATCTATCATCTGTTGAAGAACCTGTATTTCTGTCGAATACTGTTAATACTTGATACTGTTCTCTTACTGTTCAGATATTACAATATATATATATATTTTATCATAAACTTGGCATGAAAAAAAACATTTTGAAACTTTAGTTTTATGTGTCTTTAAAGTAGGTTTCATGTATACAATTTAGAGAAAACTGTGTGACATATCAATAGTTCTAAATTTTTTGAAGTACCAGATATTTACATTACTATTTTGATTTAATCTATTACAAAGCAGATCATTAATAAATATTTTGTCAGGTATAACAAACTGTGAAATAATAATAATATGTTGTATCAATGGACATGTTTAAAGTGAGAGTAGCTTTACATTGATCAGTATGTGTCCATACTGATAGCAGAATCAGCAGTTTTTTCTTTTTACAGGATAAAGCAGCATCCATCCTAGAAGACATAACATCAAAGTTAATTGAAGAGGGAAATTCAGAAAGTATTTCCTCAAAAGAACTTTTAGATGTATCCCTGTAAGTTTGATGTGTTTAATATCCAGTAGATTTGACTACACAAGGAATTTTATATTCACAGTTGCACCTCCCCAGTGGATCAGTGATAAATCTACAGGCTTATAATACTAAAAGTCGAGTTTTGATACACAGAACACAGATAGCTCATTGTGTAGCTTTGGGCTTAACAAGAAACAAAGAAATACACAATTTTGATAATGTTGTTATTAAATCATTGTTTAATTTTTGTAACTAGTTATATATGTTTTTATTGAATGTAAAATCATTTCATTATAGTGGTGTAACAATTGGGAATATCATCACCCTTCCGTTAGTAGTAAATATATTGTTATGACAGCGGAAGTCACGTGATGCTGCTAGCACATGTGTGAATGAGTTTCCTGAATTATCAGGGAACTCCTCGAATTTTGGCGAACCCTCTTCTTTATTATATAAGCCTGGCAGCAGAAGCCAGCGGGATAACATAAAGTGTGTGTTTTGCACTCGTAGCGAAGTAATCAAGATTGTTAATCACTGTGATTTATAGCGTGTATTATAAAAGTTGTTAAGTTTAAAGTGACAAGAAATGTACTGACTGTGGACTTTCTGTGAACTAAAAGTTTGTATCGAGAAAGAATAAACTGGTTTAATCAAGAAGGGATGCAACAGATATGCAACAATATTTATTTAGGTATATATTCGGGATTTTTGTCGTGGTTTTCTGAACATGTGTAGGAGATTGTAAAATTTGCATTAATTTTCTACTTCAAAGAAATGTTACATACTACAATGACTGTTCCATAAGGCATGTATTTATTTGGCATTGATTTTGTGCCATGCCTTCCTGGAATGAGGTTATACTTATTTTGGGAGGGGGGTTTACAGGTAGACTTGTACAGTATAATATGATCTGGGACTTAACTTTCTAAAATATGTATATTGATAATGATCACTAAGAATGGTTGATTACAACAATAGGATCTGAGGCTGACTTGGAAGAGTGGTATTGTAAATATTGTTTGCTCTTGTCTTGTGTAGACATGAGAAACCTGTTCGAGTGTGATATTATATTGCAGTGTTATAGTTAACAAGCTCTTAGTTGAATAGTCTTACACTGTTGTAACGATAAAGATTTGTTCTAGTTGTACATTTATATCTGCATATGTAGTGTGCTAGTACTATAAACTTGAATCTTTCGTATTATACATTTTGTAAGTAAAAAAATGTTTTAATTTTCTACATTTTGTTCAGGTCATGTTCAACTTGAAGTGTTATTTTTTGGTAGTTTGACTGTTCAAGGGATTTATCTTCTATTTCATGCATTGTGTTCTGCCCGACACCAGCCAAAAATGAAATATATAATCTCACATATCTTCTTTAAAACCCTGGGGGAAAACCTTGTCTGATCTTGGTGATTTATCTATTTTTAATCTACCCATCCTCCTACTTACCACTAAGCAATTGATATCTACTTGATTTAGGTAAATTCCAATAGTTCCTACAGAATACTCACGATCAGGAATATTGCCAATAAATTATTTTTTTAAAAATAATAGAGGAGAAAACATTTAAACACGCAGCTGTCGTTAATAAAAAGTTGGTCATCAGCATCCTTTTATGAGCCCAAATTCCATTTTAAGATTTTGCTTTACTGTAACATACTTAAAAAAATCCTTGCTCTTAGTTTTAACATTCCCAGCCAGATGTTTCATCGAAGCTCTCTTGGATTTCCTAATGTCGTTTTTTTGAACCATATCTCAAGCCTTACTGTAGTTTTGTAAATCTTTTAATCTATTTATCAACTTAAACTTATTCAACTTAGAATACTTTTTCTTTATTTTTATAGTAAGTCTATAATATTCAAAGCAGTCATCCCATGAAATGGCAGATAACATGACTGACTTACATAACAAAGAATAACACTTACGACCAAATTTGCTCAAGAACTTGTCTAGCTTTACTTGGTTTAGGGATGGAATTCTAGTAAAACTTTAAAATGCTATTATGATATGATATATACATAAGGGAGATTTGAATACCATCTTCATAATATATTTGGTTCCAAGTATTCTTTGATATCAAGAGCCAAACCTTACAAACTAAGCAGCAAAAGCTTCATCACTGGCTTCTGTATCCATAACGTCCAAGTAGAAACTCGGCAAAACTGCCCGAGTAGTTGATATAAACCTTTCTTTGCTGAAACTTATGAAGGAAGACATAATTTGCTTCAACTCACAACTTCCTACTGGCTGTAGCACTGTTGAAATTTTGACAAAAGTTATCGTCCCACAACATGTTGTTTTTCAGTGCCGTCAAGTGGTCCACCCTTTTTGAGACCTTAGGAACATTGGATTCTCATCTATGTAGCTCACTGTGCTGCACTCCCCACAGAATCTTAGCGTGTCCATCATCAATATGATCTCTTTATGTGTAACTTATTAATTACAAAACTGGACTACAATATCTGATAGTTTCTTTCCCCATGTGATAGTCATAAAATAACATCACACTCAATACAAGTCATGTAACAGCAGATGACATGCTGAACTGGCTCATGCCTCAGGAATTAACATGTAGGATTGAATTATCGCACGATCTAGGTTCAGAAGTAGAACTGTAGCATAATTATGGTACTGTATACTATAAAAAAGTGAAATATATGATACCTTGATACCACACTAACAACAAAAACTTCCCATATTACTCTAATGCCCAGTGTACTTTGAATTAATTTAAAACTGAAGAATAATTTTTAAAATAAGAAATACGTGTAATATATATATATTTAAATTTTAGGTCTGTTGTTAATGGAATGTCTGCTTTGCTTAACGTCACTGTTGGTAATGCTACTGTAGTTAGTGAAGTTGACAACACAGAGTATTACAAAGAACCAGACTATGATTATTATACATATCCAGACCCTGAAGAAGATGAAAGGAAGACAGCACAAAAGAAAGTACAAATATTTTTTTTAGATAATTATAAAAGAGTTTTAAACATTCTTTTCTTTATAAGATATGCTTACATTTTCTGTACATAGTCCCAGCATATCCAGACCTATGTGAGAGCAATAATTATTATATGACATGGCTATTTTCAATGCTTGAAGTTTGTTTATCATACATTAGTATGCTAACTAATTAGCTAATCTAGTTTCAGAGTTAGAGAAGTTCTAAAAATATTATCTAATGTAAATTCGATGATGAGGAACCCACTTTGAGACTAATAATGCTTGGAGACGCCTTGAATAGGTAATGAAGAAAAACTTTAATATAAGTTTAACATAACAGCAAATGTACAACGTTTCGACAAGGTTTTGTCATTCGAAACATTGTACATTTGGTCTTATGTTAAAGTTATATTAAAGTTTTTCTTCATTACCCATTCAAGCCGTCTCCAAGCATTATTATCTAATGTACTTGCCAAGATAACAGAACATGTGCATGATCTTTTTTTTTTTTCTTTGAGTTGTCCAATGAATCAGTGCTATGAGCTACTGAATGAGACTGTTGAAAATTTTAATTAAAAATTTAAATAAACATTTCATTATACCTCTGGATGAAGGTTTACCTAAGCTCTTGTTTGATAATGTAAGAAAAAAAGACTAAAATTAGATAATAAGGAATTACTGATACAATTTAACTTTGTTTAATGATCTTCACTCTGGAGATAGATATTTATGAATTGCTGTGAAATCCTAGTATAATGGTTTGAAAAAAAATGAATGACTGATTTACAAGAAAATTTCAGTTGGAATTGTGTACATTTGTTGTTAAAGCTCATAATATGGTTTTATATATATATATATATATATATATAGGTTCAAGAGTTCAAAAGAAGTAAAATGTTTTCATATAAATGCATGGATAAAAACTACTAAAATTATTTATACTTTATTCTACTCTTCGTTTTTTTTTTTAAACATTAATTTAGCTTTATTAAATCAGGCTTTTATGTTAATGCACAAAAAATTTAATCCAGAAGCTTATAACCAGGAAACAATAAAAAATATTATGTTATTCTTTTTTATACAGTTTAATTTTTACACTAGGTTACAACAAACTGTTTCTTATAGCTGTGCTCTGTAGCTGGGCGTGTTATGGAACTAACGAAGAATATTGCCAATGAACTTTTAAGGCAAGTGCCTATTGGTGAAAGAGAAGTGCATCTTCACACTAATGCGATTGGAATGTGGTTAAAGAAAGTCGATGAGAGTTCGTATAAAAGATCATCTTTGGGACTTAGTGAAAATAATAAGATAATCCTGCCTGCTAAATCAAATGTCGATTTTTCATCTATACAAAATGTCATTAATATAAAAGTAAGATTTTCAGATAAATCTTTTATATAAAGTTGTTTCGATATATGTTAAATTTGAAAATATAACAGTATTTTTTTTCTGAATTATCTTTCACCCCAGTAAATGTAATGAGGCATGTTGAACGTCACAGTAGTTGCCATATTTTTATATTTAATTGTGCAAAGGAATTAAACCAAGTTTGCTATGAAACAAGATTTCCAATATTCAAAAATTAAAAAAACACACAGCTAAATGGTATAGAAAAAAATGTCTGATAAGACAACATTTTGCCAATGTTAACACGGCATCATCAGGTACCTTACACAACTGAGCCCCCCCAGTGGCACAGCGGTATGTCTGCGGACTTGCAATGCTAGAATCCGGGTTTTGATACCCGTGGTAGGCAGAGCACAGATAGCCCATTGTGTAGCTTTGTGCTTAATTACAAATAAACAATAAACACACAACTGAATGCAACATATTGAATACACCTAATGGTGACATCACGAATATAACCTTGACCTTAGCATAATTATACACCTACTCTTTGCATTTCATTTATTATAGATTTGTATTCCTTACTAGAAGAGTTTCCTTTATTTTACATTTATTAACACTAGGTTCTCGACAAATAATCTTAATGGTTTTACTTTCACTACAGTGTTCTGTATCTTTAAAATGTTGGTAGACATGTCATAGAGCATGTCCATGTTCCACTATTCTAGTAGCTAAATTTCTACCAGTCTCCTCTATATAGAGATTATTACATTTTGTACCGTAAACTACCTTTTTCTCAAATGTAATTGGTTTAATTCTATTTTGTAGGAATGTATTCAAGTTTTACAATTATAGGATTTCCAGTGTTTTAGAAATCCAGCTTATGAATTATTTAGTATGTTGAAATCTAATCAATTCCCACAGTGTGTCGATAATTGTGATTGTTGTATTTTCCAGTTCATTCATTCCAAGTTAAACCCTTTCTTGTGTCACGAGTCTTCTAGATATATCAACACCCACACTGTTTTAATTAGTCTTCAGGATGAGTCAAAGAACGAAGTTGCTTTTATTTCAGAAGAAATAACAAACTTAGAAACTTTTCTAGAACGAAAAGGTAAGACATTTATGAAAATGATACGTAAATAATTCATATGGACAGTATGGAACTGATTCTTACATCCATATTTCAATCAGATAATTATAAAATATCTCATTAGAACTAATGATAATTTCAAATACCTCGTTTTATATTATTCTGATATACATGTTTCCAATTAATAATTATATTTTAACTCCCCTGTTGTATGACACTGCTGACAAGACATTTCTCTCAATACAAAGAGTTTATTAGGACAACTGAAATCAAGAACATAAACCTATCAGATAATACTATTTGAAATGACATTGTTTGTTTGTTTGTTTTTGAATTTCGCGCAAAGCTACACGAGGGCTATCTGCGCTAGCCATCCCTAATTTAGCAATGTAAGTCTAGAGGGAAGGCAGCTAGTCATTACTGCCCACCGCCAACTCTTGGCTACTTTTTTACCAATGAATAGTGGGATTGACCATCACATTGTAATGCCCCTATGGCTGAAAGGGCAAACATGTTTGGTGGAACGGGGAATTGAACCCACAACCCTCATATTGCGAGTCGAGTGCCCTAACCACCTGGCCATGCCAGGCCAAAATGACATTGAGTCAGATATTTCCTGTTCAGTATGTAGTCACTTTTCAATAGCTTTATTTTTTATCACTTTTTTTTATCTTTCTAATTATCATCATGAAAGAAAAATTCACGATATATGTAGAAAACATAACTCTAAAGAAGGTTGAAACTGAATAAGTTAAGTCCTATGCTATACATAAAATATTTGATAAAACGTTTAATCTCAAAATAGCAATAATGCTTGTGCCTTTCACTTAGAAGTGTGCCCAAATATAAAAAAGTGTGTACAAGTATGAAGATCATTATAAACTTACTAGTCAGGGTCATTAATTTTAACAATAGTATAATTTACAGTCTGCTCTAGATAACTTGTTGACAACAGTATATTCTCTAGTTGAAGTTAGAAGTTTGCTCAAGTTTTGTTTGTTTGTAGTTAAGCACAAAGCTACACGACGGGCTATCTGTGTTCTGTCCACCATGGGTATTGAAACATGGATTATAGCATTGTAAGTCTGCAGACATATCGCTGTGCCACTGGGGAGCATTTGCTCAGGTATAAAAAAGTGTGGTATTCTAAGTTAAAACCAATTTTCCACAATAACAGCAGAGTTCTTCCAGGAAATGTGTGTAACTGAGATATTTTGACTTAGTGTAAGAATAAATAGGCTGAACAGAATTTTAGAAAATAAAATATTTATTCAAAAAAAAAGGGAAGCTCAGTACGTACAAGTAAAGAAAAAATTTTCATAAAAAGGAAGCAAATGTAGGGATGACAGAGGTATGTCTGCGGACTTACAACGCTAGAAACCTGGTTTCGATACCCGTGGTGGGCGGAGCACAGATAGCCTATTGTGTAGCTTTGTGCTTAACTTCAAACAAACAAACAGACAAAAATTGGATAAATTAAGCTAAATTGTGATTGGTTAGTTATATATATATTGCTATATGTTAATTGTTCCCTGGCAGTATTGGTAGCTGTCGGATTCAGTTGACATCATAGTTTGGCTGTCAAAGGATATTCCAGTTGTGACTAGTTTAACCCAGGTTCAAGATACATACTGAAATATTCATGCAGGCAGATTGTTTGTCTGAAGTTAAGCACAAAGCAGCACAATGGGCTACCTGTGCTCTGCCCACAGTGGGTATTGAAACCCGGATTCTAGCATTGTAACTCCGCAGACATACACTGGGCAGAAGATGTCATCTAAAAAAAAGAATAAATTGATGAAGTGACTAGAACAAGATAATGTTGTACACCCTGGACAACATGTTGCTGCCATAACAGTGTAGAAATAATCAATAATTTATAGAAAAAAATATTTCTATTAAAGTTAGGGGAAGATGGTATGCCTGCATATCATAAAGACACTACATCACAAAAAAAAAAATAACAAGGTAACACGTTAAGTTAATCACCAATCCTGAAAGCCATTTGTCATACTGATACATCAGTTTAGATCTGAATTTCTTTAAACTATATTAAAAATCAATTTTTCATGCAAAATAATAAAACTGTTTTCAATTTTATGACTGTTACACCACATAGAAAGTCGATATTGTATTTTAATTTTTCATTTGTAGTTATTCAGGAAATTATACAGATATGTTTGATTAGGTTTGTAAATAAATTACACATTCATTTAAATACCGTACAATCTTCTTTAAATGTTATCAGTGTAAAACGGTTTTAATATCATGATAGAGATGTTTTTTTTTACTTTTTGTTTCCTTACAGATAGAGCGGCACAACGTGTGAAGGGAATAGCATTGGTACAAAATACATCTAGTTTGACAGATGATGATATCATTCTTCATAAGTTTGTTATTACCCAAGAATATGTGTCCCTTCAAATAGTAGTTCACCCTAAAAGGAAAGACGAAAAATTTATTGTAAGTATAATGTACACACATTACAATCCCCTGACCAAAAATATTTCAAGTTATTCTCAGACAATAAATATTTTGGGAGTAATAGAACGATTTAACCTTGTATATTATTTTGGGTTTCGGAAACATTCATTTCATTCTTATGTTAACAAGTAGAATGAATGTAACAAATCTTTTATTCTACACTAAGAATAATCAAAATATTAATATTGGGATTCTTAAAAAAAAAAGTATTTATAGGAATTTTCAAAAGTTGAACAGAATATATTCACAATTCAAAAATACCGGACCAGATTTTTACTAATGACACGACAAACTTTCTAACAGTATAACATCAACACAAGGATAATTACTTATATATGTTACAGATTTCTTTTCAGTTTCACCAAAGGTAAAATTGAAAGGAGAATCTGTGATTTAGAGGCCTAATGTTTTCTCTGAATGGCCATACCCTCTTGTGTTGTTTTGCCTATTGAAGGCTCATCAGCACAGCTTGGGCTAGCAAATCAAAGAAATATAGTTAGGCCTCTTATAACGGTGATTTGTATACAACTTTAAAAATCCCATTAATCAACACAAGAAGTTAGAAAAAAGAACCAGAAAGAATAACATAACTTTGTACATTATCACAAAATCTGACATAAATTAACTCTCCAGTTAATTATAACTCATAATTATCACAAAATCTTCTTAATAACACAACACTTATAAGTTCTAACCTAGTTACAAGAAATATCCAGTCTAAAATTTCCCATCTCAAGCATTTGGCTTATGTAGCCTTCAGTGCTCATTTTTTGTTGTTTTTTCATGCATGTGTTTATTTGCTGCCAGATGTTGTGATTATAATTCAATATGTGATGATCACTGGATTTGACAAAACATATTATCAACTTATTTAGAGTTACTGACATACATTTGTGGTATTTTCAGGCAAAACCTATTTCTCTTAGGGTAACAAGATAGATCCACCAAATATCTGATAATTCTTCAAGATATTTACTGCAAATTAATTATATACACTGAGTAGTCACAAGTAAATAGACACCTAATTTTTCGTCATTTAACTGATTTATGCTAACTAATTTGTGTTCACAGAGCACTATATAAATGAAAATGGTCTGCACACTATCGTTAAATCTTGTGGCTTGTTATTGATAGTACACAGTATCGTTAAATCTTGTGGCTTGTTATTGATAGTACACAGTATCGTTAAATCTCATGACTTGTTATTGATAGTACACAGTATCGTTAAATCTTCTG